TGTGTTCTGACCCAAACCTTGTTCCAAGGAAACAAACATGAAACTTTTAATGATTCTTTACTAATTCCATTCCTTCATGGTTAAAAGGCTGTTTCAAACTAATTGCCTCGGATTAAGAACGAGCCTTGCCAAGGTTGTGCTAGGCTGCCAAGAACGCTAGATAAAGTTACTAAGAAATATTTCAAACACAAAGAGTCTCCAAACACCAACCAAGATATCCCAAATGTTCACAAGGCCTGAGTGCAAAAAGTTCTTTGCTTCCTGCAAAGAACTCCGGTTTCTCAGCTGGCTTTTATCTCTCAAGGGAGAGGCCATTACTTTCCAGCCTTACTCCCAAGTTGCCCGTGCTGCTGCAGCTGCTCTTTCCTTTGAACAGCCCTGTGCACGCGCGCACTGGGCGTAGGCTCCTCGGGGACCTCTTCATCATTGCTGCCAGCCTCCACAACCTCCGAAGGCAACGTTTCACTCCCTGATGGTCCTGGCCCCATCCCTGCATCACACGCAGGCCCCTCATCTGAGTCCTCGCTCTCCGAGATCTCAGCCATCTGCACCTGCTGCCAGCGAACCACAACAAATTGTGGATGTTCCTACACTGAAAGTTTTAAAGAAGTGATGGGCCACCATTTGTCTGGAATGGTATAGGATCTCCTGCTTGAACAGGGGGGTGGACTAGAAGGCCTCTAAGGTCCCTTCCAACTCTGTTCCTCTGTTCAAAAATCCATTAAAGATTTACCAACCTAAACAAGCGAAGATGGGAGGAAAAACAGCAACCTTGTGCCCAGGGAAAGAAAATGTTTGGAAAAGTGAATGATCCTGTTTCTACAAAGCACTGAGTGACGGAGTGACACTCAGCAGTTACCCATCAAAAATTCCAAGGATTCCTATCCCCGAATCTCAGTGAAGTTTTAAAAAAAAAATGGGAAGGAGGGAGGGTGTTGTTTGACCCACGCGAGCAGGGACATTACCCCTCCGTCATGATCTCACTAGTACCTCGCACTAGTCTTCCTCTTTTGAAAAACATGTCACCATCGTATGCTTGTGTCATAAGGCTGTCATGCATGCTGAATTCCTTTCGCCACTCGGACAATCTTCATAGTCAACTAAGTGTTGGGGGCAGTGGTTGGGTTCAGCCGGTTTGCACTGGTTCAAGAGAACCGGTTGTTAACTTTCTGAGCAGTATGGTGAACTGATTAGGGCACAGAACCGGTTATTAAATTATTTGAATCCCACCACTGGTATCCTTTCAGCCCCTTAGTTGGCAACGGTTTGAGTACCTCTCACTAGTAAGCTGTGGCTATCTCACAATATTTGATGCGGGATAAATTACTCTTAACTTTTGGGGTGGATTTGGGATAGATAAAATGCCGGGGGAAATTGCTAACAGAGAGTTTTGAAACCTTACCCTTGTCTTTTTAAATATAATTATTGTTCTTTCTGTTAACTGTTTCATCATTAATATACTGTATAGAAGACAGGCCAATCATTTGAAAATAGATTTACTAGTTTAAAATTTTTCATGGAGCGGTGCTGTTTCACAAGGAGTGGGAACCAATACTGTAGTAGTGTATGTATCAGAATTCAAATGGGGAAGATAATCTGTATACATGCTTGTTTTTTTTCTTTTCAATGCACTTTCTAATGACTTGATGGTTTTGTGTTTTGCTTTGTTTTTAAGTTTTTGGAGTGTTGTATTTCAACTTTTTAAAAGTATAAAATAAAAATAGAGGTTTAAAAAAGGGACACATCTGCCTCTACGAAAGAGACCAGGAGGATCCTTACATTTCTCATATACACCCGATGATATTCATTCAATGCTGCTAACAAGTTCTTTAAAAAATCTAGATGATTTCCCTTTGCCATCAATTCTCCTGCTACAAGTTCCGAAGAATCTGTATTCCTCTTCCTTCTCCCCTTCCCTTCCCATAACTTTTCTTTTCTTTTCTTCTGGAACAAGGCAGATGTTTCGTAGAAAGAAGAAAAAAAAATCCTGTGCATTTATTTTGTTGGCACCCAAAAGACGGAATTTGTTTGGGGTTCTTTGAACACAGAGGGATTGGTGTGGGAATTGTGTATGTATGTTGAGTCAGTGTGTTCTGGGCACCTCTAATGATGGGTGTAGCGTCATTCCCATCATTAGTGCACTCCATCGTGGCTTGCACAAGCAAAGATGCCTTTGTCTGGGTTATCCTAATCCTTTCATGAGTGTATCTTTTGCTCAAAATAAGTGGCTGTTTTGACCAGGGCTGCTTCTCGGGACGGGATCCAGCTGCTTTGTTGCGTCCCAGTAGGATCTCTGCAAAAGGATCTGTTCGGCTTCTTTGAATGTGTGCTGACCCTGAACACGATACATGGGTCAACCTCAGTGCATTTAGATACAGAGGGTATGGTTCATTCTGTTTTATTGGGAGGGGGGGAGAGAGAGATAAGCCCCACAGGCAGGAGTCCATTATATTGAAAATCTGCAACCTAATGTTTTTGAGTGGAGCCGGGAAAGATGAAATGGTAGCAACCTTCTCCTAGCCCAAACCATGCAGTCTTAAGAGCAACTGAAAATTAGATTCCTTCTGACGTGAGTCAAAACACAAACACGCAGCTCTCTTCTGCTCATCCTTCCTCGTTGCCAGCACTTCCCAGGGGTTTACAAAACGTTCCTTCTGCTTGGAAGAGATCCATAAATCTCCCTAAAATTCCCAGGTGTGCTGTTCTTCCGCCGCAGCTCTCTCCGTCCTGGGTGATGACCATTCCTTGTCCCATTCACCTTCTTGTAGGTAGCAAAACAACCCGAAATCCAGCAGGCTGCTCTCTCTCTCTCAAGCATCCTCTCTCTTCGACAGGCATACCAATGCTCCCGAGGCTCCAATCTTTTTTCCCCTTTGCCTTCTTCTTTCAAACTTCTCTCTTCCCCTTTTTTTTCCCCAAAGGCAGGAAAGGGCTGCTCCTTTGAGAGGTTCCGTTAAATTATTTAACTTCCACAAGCTGCTCGGCAGCCCAAATGTCTATTTCTGTCTGTCAAGCAAAAAACTAGGTCATTTACTGTTTGCCATTCCAATCAAGCAACTGCAGAGATTTAGCCTGCCATGGCTGAGATACTGTGCGCCCCCCCCCCCCCCCCCACCCCCCCAAAAAAAACCCTGGAACTCTTTCCGCATTTCCTACACCCCCAAAGAGTTTGCGAGGCATCCAAAAGGAAAGAGCTCAGCGGAGTTTCTCAGCAAGATTCTGTCTAGCAGCTTCAAGAGAATACTTATCCACGGAGAAATCGCAGTAGGGTTTTTGCACTGCTACCAACCAGCCTCCGGATCATCCTAGAATCTTCGCCAACGAGAGAGTCAAAGCCAGATGCTTCCATTTTAATACATGTATGTATTTATTCATTGAGTTTTGTTCACCAATACAGTGAAAAATGGCATTAAAATTTACAATGGGTCATTCCTAGAATGTCATGACATTTTTCTTTTCTTTTTTTGCTTGTCGTCATAAAATGTCATTGTATATTCTTGAAAAGATCTGTTTTTTTTTTCCATGCACAACAGACAATAAGCTTCTTAAAAAAAATAAATTAAACTAAAGTACAAAATTAAAAACAGCTCTGAATATTCCCCTCTTAAGAAAGAGGCATCATATAACCAGCAAGTTATCTGGACACATTCATAAACAGTGCAATATTTTTTTTTTCTAAATTCATCAAAGTCCATCAACTAAACCATGACCACAGTATAAGATTCATTAAATACATTTCTTGTCAACAATGAGTGCAAAACACATTCAGTAAGTCCTGTTCAATACTGATATAATTAAGAGAGCCAACTTTTTCAATATCTCTGCCTTCCTGTGAGAAACCCACCGTATAAATCTTGTCTGCCTTTCCTTTTATGGAAAAAAAAATACAAACAATCTTTTGATGCAACGTTTTGACATTAGACATTAGCAGATTGTTGTTAACAAATATTCAGATATAAAAATACAAATATGAAGAGTTTTCTGTTAAAAAGAAGCGTGCCATAGTGGGATGACCAGTGGCACCAAAGACGTGGCACCGAGACCAGGAAGCTCATGCAAAAAAGATGGAGCAAACATGTCTCTCGACAGCAAAACAATCACTGTCTTTTATACTATAGTCCATCCATATCAGAATCTTTTTTGTTGTTGTCTTCTTCCACTCAGCACTGCTGGCTTTGAGTTTGCTTCCAAACTGCTGGTATTTTGGAAACAGATTTTTTTTTTAAAAAAAAATCATTATTATTTATTTTTACAGGTGGGGGAAATAAGGGATCAAGGAGTGAACTCTTAATGAAGCAGTTTACCAGTGTGGACTATTATACAAACACGGATGAAACCTATTATATTTAGAGTACAGTGTGGATCTGGTATTTGTTATCTGGGTACCTTTGCAAGATGTTAGCTTATGCAGCCACCCCACCGCCACCCCCAGAAAGTGAAAGGCGTAAAGTGCATTGCTAAAGGAGACCCCCCCTCCCTTTTTGTTAAAAATTAAGAGCACTAGGCGATCCTGTGGCTCAGCACCGTCATAGCATGGCATTGGGGGGGGGGGTCACCCCAGACCAAGAGGGGACACAAACTGCTGCTGTTGTGAACCGGAAGAGTGTGTGTGTGTGTGTCGGTGGATGGGGGTGGGGGAGAGGAAAGGGAAAGGGGGCAAGATAGCTAAAGACAAGACAAAATAGCTCAAAATCGCTGCGGTGGACGGCTCCGCAGGCAGTGCATCCAAGCGGGGCAGGGCGGGGGCTTTGCAACGAACGGCTCCCCCAATCTTGCAGGCGCGTAAGGAAAGCCGGGTTGGCGCGGGCGGTTCGGCGCGCCGACGGTGCTGAAATGGACAGCTCCTTCAAGGCGCAAGAGCGCCATTCAGCGCCCGCCCGCCCGTTTTTCCTTTCTCCCACCCCCCCACCCCCTAACCCCTCCCGCCTCTTTCTAGAAGGGTCGTTTTAACTCCGGAGATTGGGCACCATCGTCCCGTGTGTGAGTGTGTGTGTGTGTGTGTGTTGTGTGGCGACGGGGACAACATTGGGGCGGGGGGGGATGACAAGGTCTCGGCGTCCCGCGGCGCTCCGTTGGAAAGAGGGAGGAAGAGGAAGGAAGGTCGGGGGGGGGGGGGAGAGAGAGAGAGAGATGATACGGCCCCCCCACACACATCAGTTCCTTCTTCGGGCCGGGGTCGCGTTGGAGGTGGAGAGTGTTGCCAGCAGCCTCATCTTCTTCCGTGCTTTTCTGGTTTGTCCACAATCCCAACAAACATGCACAGCCAAAAGTGCTTTAAAAATTCGGGGGAATCCGCTGCAGCTGATGCAGAGGCGCTGCGGTGCCCGCTTTATACCCCGGACGGCGACTTCCCAGCCATGCCCTTCAGCACCTCGTCTATTCGATCGTCTTCGATGACCACTGCAAGGGGGGGGGGAGGGGGGGAGGGAAGGAAGGAGAAACCCAACACGCGCCGTCAGGACGGGAGGCGCCGGGTCCCGTGTCCCCCCAGTGGCCTCTTAGCTCCCCCCCCCCCCGGAGTGGGGGTGGGGGGTGGAGGGGTGTTAGACGGGCAACTTTGGCTCCGGGAAAGATTACGAGTCTCCCCCCCCCCACTTCCCTCCCTCCCCCCTTTCCCCCACCAACGGAATTCCCGCTGGCCATCCAGCCCCTCTGCGAGGTGTGTGGGGGGGAACAGGCTGGGGGGAAGGCCCCCTCCTTGGACTTTCTACGGGGCTCTGGGGAAAGAGAGCCGGCCGGAGCGCTCAAGTGACCCGCGTTGGGGGGCGGGGGTGGGGCGGAGGAAGAACCGGCGGCTGGGCTTTTCTTTTTTTTTTTCCCCCTCCGGGGAGGAGAGAGGAGAAAGCGCCGAGAATTCCTGCGCCAAAGAGGCCTGGTGGGGATCAAGCAGCCGCGGTCGTAGCGTTTGGATCTCCCAACGCGGGGCGCGATGGGGGAGGTCTTTTTTTTGGGGGGGGGGGTGTTGAAGAAACACAGCGCCGGGCTAAACAGCCAGCCCAGTCGGCCTGCCGGCCGGCCCTCCCCGCTTTTCTGCGGCAGGATCCACCTGCGGGTGGGAAAAAATTACAGCGGCAGCCAAGTTGGGGGTGTGAGGGGGGGGGGGGGGGGGGGGGGGGAATCTCAGCCGGGGGAACTGGGGGGGGGGCGCACGTCCATTTACTTCCCCCCCTCCCTCCCCAGGAATCGCAGAGCAGGGGGTTGAAATGCCTGGCTCCCTAATTCCACCCCCCCACCCCCTTTCCACGATCCTGCAGCGACAACCCAAGGGACAAGCGGCGGACAGGGATGGGTGGCCTTGGGGGCGGGGGGTGGTGGTGGGGATGGGGCTGAGAAGGATGTTTTGGCGGCGATCCTTGTCCCGGGAGGACGCGCGGGGTCCCGCTCACCTCGCTTGGCTCGTCCGATCTGTCCTAACTTGGGGGGCCGCTTGGATTGGTTGCCCCAGGAGTTGGTGTCCTGGAGGCGGCAGCTGAAGGAGATGTCGCCCACCTCCGAGTCGGTGCCATAGCGGGCCACTTTGTCGTCGTTGTAGGGCAGGATCTCAGACATGGTGGCGGCGGCGGCGGCGGCGGCGGAGAGGAAGAGGGGAAGCGGTAACAACAACAACAACGAAGCAAGGAAACGGGCGAGGATGGCTTTGCTTGGGTGCCTGCCGAGCTTTTGGAGCGAGAGACAGAGAGAGAAAGAGAGAGAGAGAGAGAGAGAGAGAAAGAGAGAGAGAGAGAAGGCTGGCCAAAAGCTAGCGAGGGTGGGCGGACGGGCGGGCGATCGGCTCCGAAGAGGCAGCAAGGTTCAGCCGGGGCGGGCGGGCAAGAAGCGGATGCGGCGTCCAACAGCCTCGATCAGCGTCTGAGCCGAGCGCTTGGGACAACCCTACATCATAAAGGAAACCCGGGCGGAAGGATGAAGTCATGCATCCGGAGCCTTGCGTGCAGCCCAGGGGCGGGGACAACCGGAGGGTAGAGAGGGGTGGGGGTGGGGGGGGGTGGGGGGGGGGGGAGAGAGAAAGTTGCAGCAAAAGACCTCCATCCCCAACCCGGGTTCAGATCCGCCCACTTCTTCTTTGGCCCCGCCTCGCCGGGCTTTTCGCTTCCTCCCGGAGGGAAGCCCTCTCGGCTGGCGGGGACACCCCCCCCTCTCCTCCCGGCTCCCTGCCCTTCCCCGGCTTGCAGGCATAGCTGCTTCTATTTCCCCTCCCCCTCCCCCCACTTTCGCCTCGATCGGCAGGCAAAAAAGCCCAGGGCCTCGGGCATTCCGGAGAAAAGCCAGGAGGTTCTCGTTGGGCGGATGGCTCCTGAGCACGTGCAGAAGATTTTTCTCTTCGTTCTGGCCTTCCCCATAGAATAGAAAACAGGGGTCTCTCCAACCTTGGCAACTTTAAGCCTGGTGGACTTCGACTCCCAGAATTCCTCAGCCAGCAAAGCAACTTTATGCCTGGCGGACTTCAACTCCCAGGATTCCTCAGCCAGCAAAGCAACTTCAAGTC